GCTGCTCTTGAGGCTCACCGAGGAGTAACCACTACGATCCCCTGTGGGGTGTCTCTTGGTCCAATCAGGAGTAGCACTGTGAGACAGCCTGTCATTCAGTTCATCACTCTGACAACCAGCCCGAGGAGAAAAAGAACAGTCAAAGACATGAGAGAAACAATGAAACTCAGAGATGTTCTCACCAGACTCAGGCAAGATTAGTGCCATCATTTCTCAACTTCCAAACCAAAAGCCTAGCTGAACCCCCACAAAGCATCCAGGAGAGAAACCCCTAACATCCGCCTGCCATACTTAAAGTTTTCAGCTGTATCACATGTCTTGAAAATCTTCCCGTGACAAAGCTACTGAGACAGGATTCAGCTTCCTTCATCTTCCTCTCAAGCCATGACCTCACAAGCCTCTGGGAGCTTGGATCCCACATAAAGGTTTTCACTGCCTTCGAGAGGGAACTCTCTATTGCTATGCATATTGCTACAAAGAATGGAGTGAGAATAGGCCACCCCTGGCTATAGAGAGATTGCCACCAGGGTAGTTATGTGACTATGTGGCTATGCATGCACCGTTCTGCCCAGTGGGCACAGCATGCTCCAGCCAAAGCTGGAAGGAATTCCTCCCTATAGAAGTGGCTCTCTCCAGGCATCAGTAGGTCAACTGCTGCTGATTCTGCCACCCTTTTCCTGAAGGAGCTTAGGAAAATTCTTTCTCCACTTAGTTTCTTCCCCCTGCAAAGGAAAAAAATTACACTGAACAATCTCAAGGCTTAATAGAGGAATTTAAAGGCTAAAAAGAATCATGAGTTTTCGAAAAGATAAGGAACCTCAATGTATAAATCAGCCACATTAAAAACAGTGGCTTGATCTGAAGTGCTAAGCAGGGACAATTCACTCTATGGAGCCAATGAAAATATAAAGAGCATCTTAAGGCACTTGCACATGATGCGGTGGTACGGCTCAGGAGGTAACGGCTTGTACCTGGACCACTCTGGCTCTCATCACTCGCCTGTGCTGTGACTGAGCAGCAGTACCTCTTAGAGCTCCTCTGTCATCATCTGCAAGGTGGGTTTCCTGCTATGTGACTCACTGGGAGGCTGGAAGGATCACTGCTTGACACAGGGTAAGCAGTAAGCAGAAGTTACCTATTACCTTAAGGCACATGGCACCCTCACCACAACCCTGGACAAGCAAGATCCATCGCCCTATTTTCCCTAATGCCCACAGAAGATAAAGCACTTAGCCAAAGTCACTCCATAAAGAGCCCCGTCATTTCAAATCTCATACTGCACCACAATTATTCATTTCATGATGAAATACACACAGCACCTACAAAGAGAGCCCATTTTCTCTCAAATTGATGGGTTCTGACAGCTGCCATGGGCAAAGTTACCATCTCAGTATTAGGCATAGTGAATACTATGTCTAAACCTAGCTATGGGCAGTTGTTATGAGCTAAATAATGGGCCCAATCTCTCCCCTAAGCAAAATGTGCAAGTTCAAGTCTCCCCCTTGGATTCCTTTAGATCACAAATGCTACAGAGATGCATAACATGGATGAAATCAGAAAACAAAGCTGTCCCTGGGGAATACAGCACATTGGAGTGACTTCTCTGTAAAGATCCAGTGTCCTGAGTCAGGACCCAGGCAGCCTGAGGGGAAAGATAAAAATGGTTCATCCCAGCTGGTACTAAGAACAGACCCAAGTTATGCACAGATACATATGAGGTCCCAGCCCTCCCGGAATGTTCTGGAACTTTTCTTCTCTTCCAGACTGACCTCCTTGCTCATTTTCATCCATTTTCCGTGGACTTGCCCCAGCCCCACACTCACTCACTCACTGATGCCTCGCCGAAGAGACCCAGCAGGATCAAGCCTGGGATGGACTGGATGCCACAGGTGGCTTCTACACCAAGGTCCTTGAAATTGTGACTTTCTTTAGACCTGAACCCCCTGTATTCCCTGTCCAATGAAAAAATCAAAGCAGTGTCTTGTGCACCCTAGGTTTCTAACCCCACACAGACTGAGTTGACACATTCATAGCTTTCACTTAACAAAATGGCACACACATTTCTTTCTGCTTTTTCCCCCCTGGGTAAATAAAAATAGACCAAAGTCATCTTTCCTTAGCACTTGTACCCAAGCCTCCAAGTGGAGTAGCTACTGGCATAGGAGCCATTTACTGACTGCTTCCCACACTATGCAACCTGGTAACTGCTTGGCTCTATCTTTATTGCCTTCAAGCATTCTGTCCTCTCCCTTCACAAGCAAATTCTGAAACAATTTAAAATCTGTTCGCATCCTAGACTTGTTTTACATAAAGGAAATCAAGGCCCTAGTAGATGGCAAAGTCACAATGCTTCACTGTGAAGGGCTTCAATGTCTGGCGAGCCCCTGATCTTTCCTTTTTAATAGCAGGGGCAGTGCCCACCTGTCTGTTGGGTCAACAGACCTAGAAGCATGCTGGCACTTGGGAGAGAGAGGCCATTAATCTGGGAAGGAAATGTCTCAATCAGACACATCGGAAAACAGAATTCTGCCCACACTCAGACCCTGCCAGTGAGCTGGCGCTGACAGGAAGGTCTCTCGGTGCTCCTGGCTGCCCCACCCGCCCTCCTTGAAGGATGGGCACACAGGCCACCTGAGGGATAGAGAAGAGATGACACAACAGCTGCACGCACAGAGGGGCAGCCCAGCTGCTCTGTAGGCTGCATAAACAGCCAGCAGTGGAGAGCAAATTCTTTTTTTACAGCCACCCAACAAATGGGGCTGCATGGTATGATCAGAAAGAGCAAAAAGACTCTTCTCTTGGCCCCCAAATACTAAGATACTACTGGTTTGCTGGGCAAAGCCTGCAACCTTTCCATTATGAAGGAATTCAGAAGTCCTAATTAGAATTATCTAGCCCACTTCCCTCAATAGGTAAAAGGGAAAAGTAAAGCCCAGAGAAATTAAGCAATTCAGCCAAGGGCAAAGAGCTTTGTCTAGACCTTTCCAACACAAGATCTCTGAAATTACAATCATGAATCTTTTGCAGGGGGGTTAACATTCAGAAATCATGGAATTTACAAAATGGCATATTATTTTTTCTCCTTTGGTCTACTCACTCTCTATTTGACAGATATTTATTCCATCTAAAAATGAAGACTGCATTTTAGAGGTGTGAACTAACCTCACAAAGTTGAAATGAGCCCAAGAGCATTGATTTTAGGACCAAAAAAAAAAAAAGTGCACAGCCAGCACAAGCAAATGGAATATTCCTTGAGGTTAACCATTCACAGTGCTTTCTGAAGAAGGTAATACCCCAGGGAGTGAGGCACAGCTGCCTGGCTTAGAGTCAGGAACCTTTAGTGTGATTTATTTATCTAAGTTATCTAAGGCTTTGCTAAGTTTGCTAAGTGCAGCCAAACAGGTTAAGTCCAAGTCGAAGGGCACTGTCTTGAAAAAGCTAAGTCTGGATGAGAAAGCTGGAAATTAAGCGAGGCAACCCAGAGACGGGCTTTCTGAGGAGAAGAGAATTCAGCACAAGGAAGAATGGAGTAAAAGAGATGGTGGAAAGTCCAGAGAATCGCTCCATGAGCCCTGGCAGGCAGGCCAGTCAGTGATCACCTCTCTTTCACTGAGAGGGAAGTGGGCAGGGACACACGCTCCCTCCCCTCCACCGCAGAGAGAGGGTCACTCTGGAAAGTAATTGTGTCCTATATACTTCATGTTTCAAATTTCCCTCCTGGACAATCATGTAGGGTCTAGGGAGAAACTTATTTTTAACAGCATTTTTTAATTATAAGGAAAGAATGGCTCCCCTCTCAATTAAACCCAGCTTCGATGAGTACAACTAGCATTTGGGTCATTACTTTAAGTGTTTGATATTTCTGCTTAAATAAGGTCACTTTCAATTTGGTAAACACTCCTAAGTCATATTAATTCATAGCCAGTCACCCAAGGAATGCTGAGTAAGTAAACATAATCAAGCATTAGCTAACTAGCCACAAATCCACTTGACTTTATTAATTTCTCGCCTGGCAGAGAGACCAGGAAGAAAGCAAACCATCAGAGACATTCATGCATCATTCATTCAATAAATATTTATTACATACCAGGTGCCAGACACTGTGTGAAGCTAAATATAGGTTTTATTGTGTTATTAATATCTGCCGTTAAGTTACATGTGAATGTTTTAAAGAATATTTATTTTCCCTGAAATACAAATTTTAACTCCTGAGATGCCGTATCTTCATTTCTGCCCACCTGCCTGCCTGCCCGGAGTGAGTGATGTACCTCCATCCTTAAGCTTCCAGACTCCATCCCTCCCTCCAAAAGTCTCCCACCATGTGTCAAGGAGTGAATAAGCTAGAATCGGCAGAGAGGCTCTAAGTATTTTAAAAGTTCTGGGAGAACGCAAGTGGTAAGAAAGAGTTTACTGAGACTTGTTATGTGTACATTCGGATGTTTTAAGGAGAGTAGCTCATATTTGTTAAAAAAAAATTAAATACTAGTATATGTATCTATTTCACATGCAGATAGGGTAAAATCTTATAGAAGAATTCCCTTTGCCTAATTACAAACGACACCCACTCTCCTATCTTCTCCTGAGGATAACAAAGCTTACCACCCCTCCAAACTCAATGCCCCAGGAAAGGCCCACTCTGAGAACTGACCTTAAGCTTAAGTCACAGCACCTCACTAAGAAGGGGAGCTGGGCTAGAGATCTCAGGTTCCCTCTCTGGTCTGCAGGTGGGGGGGCCAGTCTAGCCTGAGCTCCTGCTCCACCGGCAGGCACACACAGGGTGAACCCACGCATGCCCCCCACATACACATGCTGCAGGACCCTCTGCACCACAAAGCCCCCGCCCCAGGGACAGCAGGCTTACGGAGATGTACAAAACACCCCCACACAAAGGCAGAGGTGAGGCGTTTCTGGCCTCCGCCAGTCTCCTGAGGCTGCTGACATCACAAAGGTGTCAACTGGCAACCTCATCGTCATGTGGCTCTCCCCTGGCTTCCCTTCACTTCAAAGGCAGGGAAAGGGTGAGACCTTTCAAAGACGCCAAGTGGGCCAGCTTCCAGCAGCAGTCTGGGACTGAGAGAGCAGCAGAGCTGAGAAGCTGGGCGGCGGGACTTGGGCCTCGCGTTTCAACTTTGTTCAGTTCTCCTGTAATGGAAAACTGCTTCGCACAAAGCTAGGGTGTTACAGTTCTTTCCAGAGCCCCTCCCCCACCCGCCCCACCCCTCGGCAGCCTTTGGATCAGAGGGACAGACCGCGCCTGCAGGAAGGTGGAAAGAGGATAGTCCTGGCTTCTTACTATGTCCCTTGCTTCTGGCCCTGGCCCTGGATGGTTACTCTTTTCCTTTGGCATGGGGCTGGTATCGGGATCAAAGTGTCCAAATAACTGCCTGTGTCAAGCCCAAGAAGTGAACTGCACAGCGAGGCACTTAACGGAATACCCCCCTGACATTCCCCTGAACACCCGGAGGCTGTACCTACATGATAACAGGATCACTAGTTTGCCAGCCATGCATCTAGGACTCCTCAGTGACCTTGTTTACCTGGACTGTCACAACAACCGGATTCGAGAGGTGATGGATTATACCTTCATCGGGGTCTTCAGACTCATCTACCTTGACCTGAGCTCCAACAACCTAACCTCCATCTCCCCCTTCAGTTTCTCAGTGCTCAGCAACCTGGTGCAGCTCAGCCTTGCCAATAACCCTGGCCTGTCATCTCTTGACAAGTACACCTTTGCCAACACCAGCTCTTTGAGGTACCTGGACCTCAGAAACACTGGCTTGCAGACCCTGGACCATGCTGCCTTGCACCACCTCACGGTCCTCCAGACCCTGTACCTGAGTGGAAACCCCTGGAAGTGTAACTGCTCCTTCATGGACTTCGCCATCTACTTAATAGTGTCCCATCTGGACCCCCCAGGTGAGGGCTTGATTGGGTGTGGCTGGAAGAGGATGTGGTAAGAGTAGGAGGAATTGGTCTTAGAAAAAGCTGAAGGCAAAAGATGGTCTGACTGGGACAAAAGTTGAATGAATGCAATCTTAGTTCCTTTGAGTGGACTGATGAGGCAGGAAGGCCTGGTAGTTCTGGAATAGGAATCCAAAGAGCCAAGTTCCATTCTAATCTTGGCACCTACTAGTTGGCTGCCCTGGAAGAAGTCACCTTTTCGCTGAGCCTCCGTTTCCCGATCCATAAAGTGGGTACATTATTGAGACCTAATCTATAGAGCGTGCTTGTGTCAAGTAAAATGATGTAGGTGGAAATGATAACGTGCTATAATTCCAAAGTAACGCAGGGATACTGTTTTCCGTTGATAAACTGTTCTCATCTACCTCATTCAATGGCAGAATTTTTCTAGGGTCTAGACGTAAATTCTGTGATTCATGGGCAATAGAGAATCCAATAGGAATAGGATGTCCGGAAGGGAAAGCTCGGTAGGAAGGGGAGGAGAGGTGCATGGACTATGAGAGAGAAGGAGAGGAGGCAGGCGGCATTCCTCCTGCTAACAGCTTTGTGCTGGCCTCCTAAGGAAGGAGAGAATGGCCTGAATCAGTGGAGAGCAAACAGGTCACAGGGCTCACTGTGTCAGGCTGACAGATTCCAATCTCACCAGCCAGCGAACTCTCAAGTCTTACCTGGGAGGTTTCTAAGCAGGTTGCTGCCATTCGCCCCTTGGCCATGACGCTGGCAGCACCCCAGTGCCTTATCCCCTCTTCCCCCTGGGAACTTCACTGTCCTGTCCTCACCCTCTCTGCGCCCCATCTCCACCAAGAGCGCTATCCGCTGGCAAAGTCAGAGCTCAGAGAGAGGAGAACTCATCGTGGAAAGCCCAGTGCGACGTTTCGCCCATGTGGTGATACAATGGGATTATTCTTGGCCGGATGATAGAGCTGGAGAGGAAGTGGGAGAGAGGGAGCTGGTAGTGATGATGAGTAAAACTGTGCCCTCCTGCCCTGCCCTGCCCTTGGCTTCGCACATTTTAAAAGGTCCTCAGAGTGAAGGCCCCAAAGATCTTAGGGTGCAAAATTTAAGGAAGCACCGAGAGTGAACTCAGCAAGAGTGAGAGTGAGCACCGTGAGAGTGAGTGCCTCCTTAAATTTTGCGTCTTAGACACCTGGCCCTGCCCCAGAAGCTTCAGCTTGTATTGCTCTGATAAAGCCACCAGGAACAACACTGTCAGACCATCTTCTTCACTGTACTAAGCAGAAAGAACAGAAGAACAGCTAACTTGGATACCACCTTCTCCGAGAGCCAGACATCTACTTTTCTCTATCACGGGTGCTGGGATGGTTCGAGAGCTCTCTAAAGGAGGGTGAACGTTAGTCATTCTCACACATTAAATGCAGTTTCTAAGTGGGATTCTCCCCCACTGGTGTCCAGGCGACCAGTCCCAGGAAGGGCCTTCTGGTCTCCTGCCCCACCCCCACATTTTCCTCCAGTGAGTGAAGTTACTTGGCTTCTACCCCTGTCGTGCATGTCCCTTAATCACGTTTCTCCTTGTACAGTTGTGTCTTCTCAGAATTTTCAGGCTGGCCACTTTGGACTCTGACTCTTCAGTCCAATCCATAATTGAAAAGGATTATAAACAAGGTCTGGTTCGGTGCTTGTTTTCCAAGATGTCAGGAGGGAAAACCTACTTCTTCAAGATTATGAATTCTTTGTGAATGAAGAGTCTGTCTTTGAAATGGACAAAGCTTTCATCCACAAGCCAGTGGGACCCCACACATGCAATGCTCATCTCCCTCTCCCGTGTTGTGGCCCAGAGGAACCCTCCGGGCCACTTCATGAAGAAATATGGGGCCTCATTTTTCCAGTCCACCTCTGTTGTCTGCTAAAAAATATGAATGAGTCCAAGGCCAGATATAATTTACAGGCTACAGAACTGAAACTGGGACAATTTCTTCACACTTTTTTCTCATTTTCTTTACTTTAACCATCCCATCAGCCTTGAAATTTTGCATCTCTGTCTTGTGCAAGAAGCCAGGGTTGGTATTTTTAACCTTTTCCTTGAATGAGAAAATAGACCAATTCGCCCAAAATCACACAGCTAGTAAAAGACAAGAAAATGATTTTACACTCTTGATTCCAAATTCAGGTCTGGATTAAACAGTCAACTTTCTGTCACTATGGTGATATACGTGAAATAATCAACTTTAAAGAGGGAAGGTTTATTTTGGATCACAGGTTTCAGTCCCTGGTTAGCTGACCCATTGCTTTTAGGCCTGTGGCAAGGCAGCGTACCATGGCAGGTATGCATGACAGCTGAAGCTCCTCACTCATGGTAGTCAGGAAACATCAAAGAGAGGCAGGAAGTGGCTGGGGCCCGATACCCCCTTGAGGGGCTCAGCCCCAATAACCTGACTCCTCTAATTAGTCTCTGCCTCTTAAAGGTTCTGCCACCTCCCAATAGTACAACAGGTTAGGGACCAAACTTTTAACTCATGGATCTTTGGAGGGCATCTCAAATCTAAGCTATAAATTCTTTTACTAAGAAACCATACTGGAGCTGGGGATTTAGCTCACTGGTTCCGCTGCCTGCCTCGAAAGCACAAGGTCCTGAGTTTGATCCCCAGTACCACCCCCCAAAGAAAGAAACCATACTATATCTTAAACCTGAAAAATCACATGATACTTATCATCTTATAAGTCAGTTTAGTTAATAAATGTGAGACATGTTATAAGATTATGGCCATAGCACCTAAGCTTCAGCTTTATTTCCTATCTGGCTACCCCTCAGAGCATAACCATGATCACTTTACATTGTGTAACAACAAGCACTGTCATCATTACAGTACTCTCTTGAAAACCTAGATTTCACCCCAATCTACCCAAACTCCAAAAAGATGAATCTAACTTTAGTGTTTGCTCTCACTGTGGACTTATTCAGGCTGATCCTTCCTTCTGTACATGTACAGGCATACAAATACAGACATGTGAATAGATATGTATATGCAAATACAAAGGTGTGCGCACAACAAACCATATATGTATACACACATTACATACACATATAAATATACAGATGCACCCTGAGACACATACACATATACACACAAAGTTGAACATAACTATGGCAAAATTCACCAAATTTCTTTCTTGCCCTTCCTCAATGTAAAGGAAGTTATTCTCACTTGACTTTCATATGATAATCCTAATGGATAGAAATATCTTTGCTATTGCCAAATATTCTTGGTGAACTTTGAACCTAGAGCCCACCTACTTTATACTACATTTATTATCAAAATGATGGTGATCTTTGAAGATATTCTAGAATGGAACTCCCCATTGTTCCCAATGTGCCCACATTTTAGGATACAGGGAGAATTTTTGTGAAATAACCTGAGTAACCAGGTTATTCATAAATCAGACTCCAAGCAAGGGCAGTCTGGGCTGCATAATGAGTTCAAAAGCCAGCCTGGAATGCATAATGAGACCCTGTCTGGAAAAAGAAAGAAAAGAAGGAAGAAGGAAGGAAGAAGAGGAGGGGAGGCTGGAAAGAGGGAGGGAGGGAGAGAAAAAAGGGAGGGAGGGAGAGAGGAAGGAGAGAGAGAAAGAGAGAGAAGATAGAAATAAGACTCCAATTTAAAAGCAGATTTGCTTTAGATCCTGGGAGATACTGTCTTTCAGCACTGGGAAGTTTTACCAATGGTGTAATACCAAAGGCAGTAAGCAGTGTAAACCAAGATGGGGAAGTAACAGGCTTCCATGCTACCTGTCAATATCTGCTTATTGTCTGCTCTGTACTGTCTACTCTGTACCAGATTAAGTGCTGATGGTTATAACTAACCCACAATCCCAGAGCTGTGCATAGAGATTCTTAGGACTGTGGGTCACTGGCACTGTACATGTTCCATGGTCCAGTTAGGTATAGCAGAACTAAACAGAAAAAAGAGAGGCCAGAATATTCCCAGTCATGCACTCTGGCCAGCCTCAGTCACAAGTGAGGAAGGACAGCCACCATGTAGCAGCAGAGCCAGCTAAGAGCTCAGTTTCAAGAGTGAAACAGACTTGGGTTATAGTCCTAAACCTGCTACTTCTTTTCTGTGGGCCATCAGATAAGTTACTTAACCTATCCGAACTTCAATTTCCTCATATTGAATGCAGAGATAATAATAGAACCACCCTACAGAGGGCTGTTGCAATGATGAAATAAGAACATTTATAAACTGCTCTCATCGTTTCAGCTTAACATACCATAAGCACTCAATAAACAAATGGTTAGTAGACACAGAAAAAGTACAGGACACTATAGATTAACAGACATCAGCCAAGTAGGTCACTGAGCAAATGGACTTCAAGAAGGCTCAGGACATATGGAACTAAAAGACAACGTATTCTCTTTAGGAGATATAACTGAAGAGATGTAGGTGGGGATGCAGATAGGATATAGAAAAGTGAGTAGCAGGTCCTAGGATTCTAATTTCTAAAAGTATGGGGAAAGTTGCATCCTAGAAGGAGTCAGGTATTAGATAAATTATGAACGCAGGGGTCCAGACCCTGGTAAGCCAAACCAGAAGCCTAAATCAGGGCTTCGTGTCATCCTGATCCATGATACTCAGGGCTGGCCCAGCCCCAGAAAAGTAGTTGCTCCTGAATCACCTGAATCCAGATCTTAATGCACTACCTAAAGCAAGTCCCATTTCCAGAGGCAGGAGAGAGTGGACAAACAGCTTTCCCGAGAGCTAGTCCAACTGCGAGGTGATGTGGCCTTGAGAGAAAGAAGTCGCTGATGTGGTAGAACTTTGTCATTTAAGAGTGTTGAGCAATATCTTTGCTCCAGTACCTCCCTACCTCCTGCCTGCCACTGAGTCAAAATTAGCCGTTAGAGAGTCACTCCTTTGGGGTCCCCAAAAAGTGTCAAGATCTTGAAGAGACACTGAAAAAATACATGAGCTCCTGGGGAGAATAAAGCAAGTATCCCT